GTGTTGTGTAGAGGAATTCGCTGAGGTGAAGAGGAACTCCCAGCATTCTCGAGAGGATGCGCGTGCACTTTGGCACAGTCACTTTCTTGGCTGAAAAGGAGTAAATACTGTACTGGAAGAGTAGTATTACTACATGCTTTAATGCCAATTTTGTGAGTGGCCAGTGTGCAACGAGCCTTCTCCACATTAGTCAGACTTGAAAGTGTTTATATTTATTTCTATCACTGTTGCTAATGAGCGGCCCCGGTGGTCGAGTGGTTAGCGCTCACAGTTCAATTCCAGCTCCGGCCTCCCTGTGTGGAGTTTGCATGTTGTCCCCGTGGGTTTTCTCCGGGTACTCCGATTTCCTCCCACATTCCAAAAAACATGCATGGCAGGCTGATTGAACACTCTTAATTGTCACTAGGTGTGAGTGTGAGCGCGGATGGTTGTTTGTCTCTGTGATCCCTGCGATTGGCTGGCAACCTGTTCAGGGTGTCCCCCGCTTACTCCCCGAAGACAACTGGGATAGGCTCCAGCACCCACGCGACCCTCGTGAGGATAAAGCGGATTGGAAAATGGATGGATGGACTGTTGCTTATCATACCAAAATTTATTTCTATTTGCGGTCCTCTAACATGAATGAGTTGCGGCACAGCTATTCTTCTGCCCTTCAAGTTTTTTTTTTTTTGTTTTTTTTTTTTTTTTTTTTTTGGTCGTTGCCTTGAAAGTTTTGAAATGTTTCCGTCCAAGCCACGGATTGAAAACATTCTGTGCTGGGTGTAGCAAAGCCACCGTGTTTCGAGGGAGCTGAGAAGGGGTCAGCCGGGGGTCTTCTTTGCAAAGCCGTGCGGTCACCTGCGGGTCAGCGGCGGGGCGTCGGCAGACGGGCGCTCGGAGCGCACGCCCCGCGCTCAAACACGGCGCCGGCCGGGGAGGCAGGTGGGCGCGAGGACTGGCGCCGGGCCCAGGTTTGTCTTCCTCGAGGTTCTTGTGTGCGTGTGATCCGCAACACTTTGCTTCAGTTGACTTTGTCTGCCAGGACATCTTGCAAAACCTGCTTTGGAGGCGAGGCGCTAAAAGAAGAAGAGGAAATCTGCCGCCGGCCGCTCTCTCTCTCTCTCTCACTCTTTTCTTTTTTTTTTTTGTTTGCCTTGGACGCCGTGTGCCGCCCAGTCAGAACGTTACGCGACATGCTTCGGCAAAAGCCGCGCTTGAACTGGCCGTGCCATTCAGCGAGTTCTTTCTCTGAAGTTTTTATGCCCCCCTCCTCTTTCCCCGAGTTCAAAGGCCCTCCCCGGCGGGTGGCAAAACAAGCGCAATGCATTGGCGCAGTGCGCTGCCTTGAAGACTTCTTTTTTTTCAAAGAAAAGCATCGGTGTCCAGACCCATGCACGACTCTGGAGACCACTGCAGAATGATTTGTCTCGCCGATTTTTAGCGAATCAAAGGGAAGCGAAAAAAAAATAATAAAAAATAAAAAATACGAATGATGAACTCCCCTAATCCAACTCCAAATATAAAATGACAAGACTTAACCGACGACATGACGGGAATAAAGTGGAGAGAGAAATGGCCGAGTTCCAAGAAGCAAGTCTTAAGTCATCAAAAAAGAAGTGCACAGATCGAGCGCGCCCAGGAAACAAACTTCAGTGGACTTTCTTTCCCCACCCATCATGCATTTTCATCTCGGGGACCTTTCTCAAAGCATACGCACGTCCATCAACGTACACTTAATACACTCGACCGGGTGGGATGGTGTGTGTGTGTGTGTGTGTGTGTGTGCGGAGAGGGGAGAGGGATGGGGGCACGGGAGCACAGTGGGTGCCAACGGGCACACACAATAGTGGCAGGGATGCTTTTAAAAGACTTATTTTGAAGACGATGATGCTTCCGAGGGATCGTCCCACGCCGGCGCCATCTTTGTGATTGAAATGCATGACGCTCACCGCTCACATCCGCGGAGCGAGCGCCCATCATCGGTCTGCCCGCGTCTCGATCAAACACACCAAAATTGTGTTCGAGTGCCTGCGCCTCAAATTCGTCCTGCTTTTTGCCAGTGTCAAATCGAGTCTGCGTTTTGTCACCAAATTTGCAGATGCGTCGGGGGGGGGCACAGCGAGTCGGACAAATTCACAAACGTGACGAGCCAAAGCGCCGTCCGTCCCTGCACAAAAATGCCAATGCGGCCGCTTTCGGGCCGAGCGCGGACGAGTTTCGGTCGCCAAATTATCAGGTGCGTCGGGGGCACCGGCGCGCCCAGATGAGCGCAACGCGGCCCCCAAACACGCTCGACTCGACTTGCTCCGGCACCAAGATGAACTTACGCGTATCTTTATTCTTACGCCCGGCGAACCGGCGCCGGTGACCAGTCGAGGGCCCGACAAACTTTCTCTCGACAAAATAACGTCTTTGTTCTGTGCAGTGTGATGCTTCTTAAAACATGAGAGGAGACGTTTCATCAGTTGGACAACAACAGATCCATTTCACACACGAAAGGTCGCGCGTGCATGCGTGACCAAGTGAGGATGGCGTCTTTTTCAAATGAAAGTCATCCATGGTGTCGTCTTGACGCGACAGGTGGCTTGTACCTTCGGTGATGACGGTGGGAGGAGTTCCGGCCGGAGGAGCCGGCGGTGACCGCTCACAACGAGTCGTGAGCGGTCACATCAAAAGCTCCATGAATTGTGTCACAGGAGGACAGAATAATAGTGTGACTTGCGCTTTCATGTCCTCCAAGCCCCCCAACCCCCAAATCCCCCCAAGTATGAGAACTAGGGCCCCCTTGACAAGTCTTGAGTCATGCAGTCATGCAAGTTCTTCGCCAGGCACCGGCGTGAACGAGCGACAAGTTGCCGATGTCGGCCGGCAGGCTCCTGGCGGACTTGAAATCCCCGCCGGGATCACATTGAGAGTGTGGCCTGCGAAACGGGATACTCATGCGAAAGGCTGCCCCCCTCCCAGCCCCCCCACACACACACACACACACACACACACACATGCACACTCATACTCGGAGGCGCTCCAACAGGCAGCGCAGGACAAAAGCTGCCCCCTTGTGGCTGCCACCCGTCTCGTCAGAAGGTAGATGAGGACGAGCAAGCCGCATCGGCGCGGACGGACGACGTCCTTCCGCTTGCTTCGAGCGGGCGCAAGGTTATCGGGGTCAACGAAAACCAACGCCATTTCAAATGGACACAATATTTTCAGGAAATAAAAATGAAAACAAAAACGTATTTTTCGATGTTCGTTTCATATGGCAACTTCATTGTTTTGAGTTTTTTTTTTTTTTGTAGCACCCTGTCTTTAGCGTCAGATCATTTTTGTTGCTGTGAACTTGTTGGATCACAACTTAATCTTTCAAATTGTTTTTTTTGTCTTGTCATCGGGCAACTTCATGAATGTGTCATTTGTTTTTGGGCTGCCACTGGGTCAAAAGTTTGAGAAACCCCCCCCAGGCGAGCATTTCAGCCGCGGCGTCCCGACGACTCGGAAAGGGCCCCCGCTTGCGCGGAGAAGAGTCAGCCTCGAAAATAACAACAAGCTCCCCCAACAACAAGCAGGCTGGCCCATTTTGGCAGGCGGACGCCTCCCAAGGCCGTCGGCGCACAATGCGCCAGTGTCCGGGACGCGGGGGGCGCCGGCGGGGCTCCCCTCGCTGCCATCTTGTTCCCAAAAGCTCCGAAGAGCAGCGCTTGCCTCTCGAGCCTTGACCGAGATTCGCCTCCTCGACGTGTTTGCGCGGGCGGGGCAGGTGACGACGCGCCGTCTTGCTCTTTGATCTCCGCCTTTCCTTTCAATTTTGTCACCGTCCGAGGGGGAGAGCGCGCTCTGAAAAGATCCTCACCAATGTGTGCTCTGGCTAACCGCTAGCGTACATCCTTCGATGTGTTCTGGTGAAAAGGGGCGGGGGGGCTTCCGGAACATTCTGTGGAAATGGCAAGGCCGTTTTCTTTCATTTCAAGCACAAGGCAACTCAATGCGCTTCACACAAGCGAGAGCGCAACGCCGAACGGCGTTTTTCCGGAGCGAGAGTTGAAAGCGTTCAAAAGCAAAGCGGAGTGAACAAGCAGCGCTCGCGCCCGCGCCCCCCCCCCCCCCCGTCTCCCACGCGGCGGCGCGCATTTGCAAGGGTTGGTTTGCCTTCTCGTCAGTGTTTGTTCAAGGACGCAACCGTTTGCGAACCGTTCGTCAGACGCTCGCCTGCATTTTTCTTGTCAAAATACTTGGCGGATGGCGACCGTGAAACAATGCGTTCTCAGCAGAGATGGGCACGGATGGGACGAGAAAAAAAAAAAAAGTGGATTAGGCAAGGACGGAAGTGGGTTTTCATCCATCCCCAATTGCACCCATTTTGATCCCCGTCAGGGGGCGGCCATTTTGCGTTCTTCCGCTCGCTGCGATGCAACGTTTTCGTCACGCGTGACAAATTCCCGTCCGCTTTCATCATCGTAGAAGCCCGCAACGCATTCCTTCCTGATGGCGCGCCACCCTTCCGAAAGTCCTCGACCGTAATTGGCCCAAAGGCCCTTCAGGTCAGGTTCTTGATCGCCGAGTCTTGGCTTGGATTGGGCGCTAACCGGCACCCGGGTCAGAGGTTAGGGGTCACCTCAGGGAGGAAGGGTATCTGGGGTCATCAGCAATGGCCGGTCGGGGGACGGTGACGATGTTTTGTTTTGGAAATTTTTTTTTTTTTTGGGTCTGTCCACCGCATTCTAATTCTACTCGCCAATACCGAGTTAAACATTTCAAATGAATTTTGTGAAATGAAGAAGCAAGCAAAGCTAGCATTGATCTCAAGTCCTTGCCTTCAATCTCCTGCCTTCTATTCCACTTGCCTCCACCAAATGTTCCGTTTCAGATGCAGGGGGGGGCTACAAATGCTGTTTTGGAGAATGTTGTGCTGCGCCGGCATTCCCCCCCGCTGTTCTCTTCCACTAAACCGAGTCGGCAGCATCTGAGTGTACATTTCGGAGACGCGTCGACACTAACCGATCTTCTCTTTTCCCCGCCCCATCCAGATGCATCCGTTGGGATTGTGTAACAATAACGACGAGGAGGACCTGTACGAGTACGGCTGGGTGGGCGTGGTCAAGCTGGAGCAACCGGAGCTGGACCCCAGTTGTCTCACCGTGCTGGGAAAGGTAAAGGCGGGCGCGGCCTGGACGCACTTTGCTGCGTGGGAGGCCTCGAGCGTCCCCAAATGTGGGAGGGGAGTACCGTAAATGTGTGTCGGAGGGAGGGGGGGGGGCTGGTTTTAAGGTTGGCCTATAATATGGTGCTTCTCTACAAAAATATTTGAACAATAGAAAAAAACCAATACTACGCATGACATAACAAAAATAAGATCCTATTCTGTGATAAATACAAAAAAAGAAATATTTGACTAGAATGTATCGAGTTCATTGGAATAACCAACAGCAGAAATTGCAAGAATAGCATTGAAAATTTGACCCCGTGCCCGAGCCCGGT